GTTTAGTCCTATGCCACGCTGATTCCTTCAGAAAGGATGCTAGCAGGTCTATTAGAAAGAATCAGGAGGAGGAACAGAACTTAGCACTTGGAAAAGAACAGCTGGAGGCCAGGGCTGGGGATTGCTGACAAAAGAGGCCAGGCCTAAAGTCTGTTCAGAGAGCCATATTTCACTGGGCACAAGATTAATCAAGCCTTCTTAGGCACTGCTGGTTCGAAATGCTCTTGTTCAACATGCTGGAGGCAAAAAGTACAGTATGCGTCTGTGGAAGGTTTTCTGCAGCTCAGCCCTGCTCTTCGAGATGCATGCCAAGGTAAGCCATGTGAAAGCCATACAGTATTTTGTCTGAAAGCCCCGTATAAGCTCCCTGCCCTGAGACATCTGCCTAATACCCTCCTGGTGTTGCAGCTGAGGAATGGCATCGCATCACACACTGTGGCATTTAGTGGGGAGATTAAACCTTTCATTAAACTGAGCATTTGCAGTAAGAAACGGAAGGGCAAGAAGACTTTCTGTGGCCAGGCGCAGTGGCTCATGCCTGTAATCCCAGCACTTTGGGAGGCCGAGGTGGGCAGATCACCTGAGGTCAGGAGTTCAAGACCAGCCTGGCCAACATGGCGAAACCCTGTCTCTACTAAAAATACAAAAAAAAAAAAAAAAAAAAAAAATTAGCCGGGCATGATGGCACGCACCTGTAGTCCCAGCTACTTGGGAGGCTGAGGCATGAGAATTGCTTGAATCTGGGAAGCTGAGGTTGCAGTCAGTTGAGATCGCGCCTCTGCACTCCAGCCTGGGCGACAGAGTAAGACTCCGTCTCAAAGAGAAAAACAAAAGACTTTCTGTACAGGCACAGTTGGGGGCTCAGGTTTCCAGTCTACATAAGCGACCAACAAACCCAACCTTTTAAAATAAATAGGTGTCAGCAATAAACCTTCTGTCCCACAGCAGCTAACAGGACACTTAGCTTTTGAAAGACACCCTTTCTGTGTAGCCCATGTCCTAACAAAGGAAAAGCTAAAATGTTGCAAAAGAGGATGAAGAAAACGTCTCTTTTGTTCTTTACTGTGACAATGGCTATGATAGCAAATACTTACATAGTTCTGTCTGGATGTCAGACACTATGCTAAGAAGTTTTTTCTTTTTTGTTTTTGAGAAGGGGTATCACTCTTGCCCAGGCTAGAGTACAGTAGCACAATAATAGCTCACTGCAGCCTAGAACTCCTGGGCTTAAGTGATCCTTTTGCCTTAGCCTCCCTAGTAGCTGGGATTACAGGTGCCTGCCACCACACCCAGCTAATTTTTTAAAATTTAAGAATTTTTTTAGAGATAGAGTCTTGCTGTGTTTCCCAGGCTAGTCTTGAACTCCTAGCCTCAAGTTACTCTTTCACCTCAGCCTCCCCAGTAGCTGGGATTACAGGTGTGAACCACTGCACTCAGCGTGTTCTAAGAGTTTTGCATGTATTAATTCACCAAATCGTTAGAGCATTTTTATGAGAGAGCTACTATCATTAGCTCCTTCTTAGAGAGTAGGAACCAGGCACAGAGAAGTGAAGTCGCTTGCCTAAGGTCACACAGTTAGCAGAGGGGACAACTGGGCTGTGAACCTCGATGCTCTGGTTTGAAAATCTGTTCTGTTATCCTCTGTGCTAAGTTCCCTCTCACTAAGAATTAAAAATATAAGAAATGCCATCCTAGATAGCATGTACAGTCTAGGATCCATCTAGCCATCCATCTACTCACCTACTAGGTGGCAAGCACTGAGCTAGCCCATGCAGATACCACAGTGATCAAAGACAGGCGCTGTCTCCAGTCTTGGTGACATGTTCCTTAAGGCAAGAGCTTCTGTGGTTGCCTCTTGATCCCCATTGCCCCCACTCTCCAGGCTGTGAAAAGATCCTGGCTGCCCGGGAGGGCCAGGCCTGTGGTGATGTTCTGGGATTTATTTCTGGAGGTCTAGTACAGATCCCACTCCTCTGACCCCTCTAGAGATTTTATATGCTCAATGTAACACAGTTGGGACACCTTCTCCTTAAAATGACTAGATGGTGTCTGTTTTGTGCATCTGAACTGTGACTGACACATTTTCCTAAAGGGGTAATGGATAAAGATTAAAATAAGGGGTGCCTCTAGTCCTAGCAAGGGAAACAGGAGTGGCTCTGAGACTAGTGCATGTGCATCACAGCAGGAGCGAGGGCCACTGGGAGGGAAGGTGGGGCCAGTGGGGGCCCAAGGCCTAGAGCCTAATGTGCAGCATAGGTCAGACCTGGAACAGAAACCCAGGGCCAGGTCAGCTAGTGCTCTCCCATGTGATCGGGGAGCCCAGGACATCTCAATCAGATTCTGTCTGGAGATAGCATGGAGCTGGGTAGAAAGTACAGATTTCTTCTGGAGCCACAGGGCTGAGGACCAAATTGGGAGACGGGATAAACAGAAGATTGTTCAGCCAAGGACTATTTTTTAAAAACCGGACACACAGCTGGACTCTGAGTCTAATCTGGACACTTGTACTTTCCTATGTATGCATATTTTGTGTCCCAATAAATCCCCTGATCTGTAATAAAGATATATATATTGTACTGAAGATGCACCTAACAAATATTTATTAAGCATCCACTATGTGACAGATGCCACTCTAGGTACTGGGGATATGGCAGTGAACAAAACCCATAAAAATATCCCTGTTCTCACAAGGCTTACATCTGTAATTTAAAAATATTTTTAATCTGAAAAACACTGAAAAACCCAGAGAGGTAAAAATTACCCATAACCCCATTAAAAAATGTCATGTATATAGAATATGTAAAAATAAAGCAAGAAATCAGTGTTTCTCCTTACCCATCCAACCCTACACATCCACCATAAGGTAACCATTATAATTTTTTCCTAAATTTTAAAGACATTAAATATATATACCTATGAAATATTTATTTTATTCTATTTTTATAAAAATAGAATAATGCTTTACAGAATGACCTACATGTCCCCCCACTGCCACCCAATTGATCATTTTGTTTCAGTTTGAGCTCCCCAAGAAGTGGACCCTGGGCCAAGGATTCAAACACACACCCTGCTCAGCAGATCTAGGTCTATTCCATTCGTCGTAATGGTTGCACAGCATTTCACCATGTGTCTGCATCATTACTTATGTAATCCCCCCCAATGTACACACATTACCCTACCTCCACCTCACTTCCCACTCACTGATGCTTAGGATTGTTGGGAGGGTGCTGACGTTATTGACTCTTGTAAGGGGGGACATATACAACAAAGGGAAACTCCATTTTCCAAAGGCCACTGCCGCAGGACAGGGTTTTGAGGCCTGGAGACACGGCAGCGTTGGCAGCAAGGAGATGAGGTCTAAGAAACTCATCATTGTCCTTATCGTGCGAAGATACAGAGCTAATCCATGTTTACGTGAAGTTGGCCAAATCAGTCACCCGGATGACATAAAATGGAAAAGACCTCATTCATTCAGTGGTTTATTTTCTCTTTGCCAACTACACCAGCCACTTGCTTCTTGACATTTTTGGTCTTAATGCATCATATATCACTAGTTCTAGCATGTCTTTTGGAACTAGGCCACATTATACTATTTAAGATCGCTGATTTTTTAAAATGACAAAACTACATATGATTATTGGAGTGATTTTATCTGTATTTTGTGGCCGTGGCATTCTCGGATCTTTGAGTAAAGGGTGAAAATCTTTATGTTTCTAAGCAGAGTGACAGTTTCTAAGGTCTTCAGTATCTTGGTAGGTGACTTCAGATGACCATCGGCACCATCAATCAACACTTCTAGAATCTCCATGAGAACCATATTATAGTCGGGGAAGAGGTTTTGGGCTGGCAGCAAAGATCTGGCATCCGCCCCTGGCCATCTGCATGCCTGTGGCACGTTACTTGGCCTTCCTGGATCTTGGAATAATAATGCCTCCCTGGCATAACTTTTGGCAATCAAAGTAAAAATCCAATGTAGAAGTGCTCTTCAGGTATCAGCTCCCAAACAAATACAGGATACTGGAGGAAGAATCTGGATTGTGCTAGGCTGCAGTGGGTAACATTAGCTCAAGTCTCCCTTAAAGAGTCGGCACCCCGAAGCTGAACTCCTCCCCACTAACAGCACATGCAGCTCTCCAAAAAGCCTTAACGAATAAAGTTGATTTTACTAAAGGTTTTATGGAGAAATAAATAAGATTTCATCTTATTTATTTATATAAAATAGATGGATGGATATCTATTTATATAAAATAGTCACCTTTTCCATCAGAAACATTTGTTCTTCTCTGAGAGCTCATCTTTGACCACCAGGAACCTTAGTTCTGTCTCCTACCTTGTCCAACAAAGACTCCCAGCCTCAATGGCTCTAACCTTTCCTTATTGCTTAAGCTTCCCTTTGGATCTTCTATGTACTCTCCCCCTCTGAGTTTTTACACAACAATTACCCCTTAATCTTGATAACATCTTCTTACTCAATGGTCAAAAAACATTCTTTTCAGGTCCTCCTGCGCTCCTTTGAAAGCAGTGGAGGAATTTTAAATAACACATGTTTTCATCACAAACTTTTTCCCTTGTTGTAACATTATTAGGTGCTTTTCATTATTCTACTTGTTCAAAATATTTATGGACTGGTTAGATCCAGAAACTTGGGAATCCTCTAAGGCCAGCCCCTCATTTGGTACTTGTAGTCACTGGGTCCCAGAGGAGAGAAGGGACTTGCAGAAGGCTATAGAATCAGTCTACGACAGACCCACAGTTAGAAAGCCGTGGCTGACTCCCAACTCAGTCCTCATCCCACCATATCAAGCCTGGGACATAAATGAATTGAGAGGCTTTCAGATTCCATGGGACCCAAAACTCTGAACTAAAAGAGAACTTGGAGTTTATCTGGAACAAACCTTTGATTTTAGGGAGGTTAAAAGGGAACCTTTTCTTGTAGTTATAGTCTCTGAATCCTAGAAGTACAACAGATTAGAAGGTTACTTTAAAGCGTATATACTTGCCTGGTGGGTATGATTTCCAGGAACATATACAGACTTAAACTGTTTCATGAGACTCCGAGCTCCAGCAATATCCCGAAGTGAAGTAAAGAGTTTATCCACAGCAATTTTGGATTTGTGAAATGTCAGGTTAATTGAAGAGTCCCAGTCTGAAAAAATCCAGAGATATTTTCTTGAGTGAGTAAATCTTTAAGTTTTCATCATGATAGCTTGAGCTCGATGTAATGCAGTTGGGAAGTTTTATTTTTTTTTCATCATTATTATTATTATTATTATTTACCCTGTTTTCCCCTGCTGTTTACCAACTGGCCTGTTGCAATCGTCCACGAGCAATGAAGCAAACTGAGTATAAATGCCTTTGACAGGAGTGGAACTCAAAATTGCCTGGGATTGCAGCCACTGGCTTCCATCCCTAGACTGCAGACATTTCACAGAAAGCAAGCTCCCAGGGCCCATAATCCTCGGAACACAACTTTGGGAAAATACGAGGAGACGCAAAGGAAAGTACAAGAGACTGTTATGATCAAACTCGCTTGCTTGAATCCCACCAACAGTTCCCATAAAGCAGGACGGCAAGAATGAGGAAGATCACAGTGTTGCTCCAGGGACAGAACTCACTGCAATGGGCATCTGTCTAAAGTGTTAACAAAGCACGCGGCACATTTCAGACGGCAGCCATTCAAAGCTGATCAAACGCAGGGGGACTTAACAAGACGGTTTTCTGCAACCTTCTGTTTCTTTTTCAAACTTAGAAGAACGTATTCTCTGCTTTGTTAGAAGCTCATTCAGAAGAGACACGATCATGGATAAGTTAAAAAAAAACAGGAAAATATTAAAAATATGTCTTCTTACCTCTCCCAAATACATCAGCTACATTAACTCATTAATCGTCACATCATCCGTATGCGGCAGGAACTATTGTCTTCTCCATTTTCAGAATAAGGGGACTGAGGTGCAGGTTAAGTAACACCCCTGAAAGCAGGTGTGTGAAGGACTGACAAGGCCCTGCCCACACCCGCTTAGTCACCCTGGGTGTCCCCTGCAGGAGTGGTAAAGTTTCCGTGTATTCTGACTGCTTCCTACCTCAGTACCTGCATGTCAGGCAGTCAGTCTGTCTGTCTCTCTCTGCCTCTGCCTCTTCTTGTCTAAGGGCTTTCTCTGATGTAGGAGCATGTTTGGCTTGTATATGTGGCAGGCTGGGAGTGCTGGGGAGTCCACACTCATAGAAATAATCCCATTTTCTTTTCCCGTGGAGGAGTAATTCTGAGTTGTGGTCTGCACAGCCTTTCTGAGGGGCCCCAGAAGGATGGAGCACCCACTGCCCGCAACATCAACGCACCGATTAATACCCCCATTAGTGGCTTTCCCTCCTCCCCCGTCTCACTTCCCTACCTCCTGACTGTGCTTTGGGATATCTTTCCAAATTCAGCATTCGCACCCAAATCCTTGTCTCAAGACACCAGTGATTTGAAGACAGGTCTGGCTTTATTTTTTTAGTAATGGCTTTATTGAGATATAATTCATATACTATACAGTTACCCATTTAAAGTGTATAATTCAAAGCTTTTAGTATATTCACAGAGTTTAACAACCACCATCACCACCACAATTTTAGAACGCTGTGTCACCCCAACAAGAAACCCCATACCTGTTAGCAGTCACCCCCAATTTCTCCCCTCTCCAGCCCCTGGCAATCCCTAATGTGCTTTGTCTCCATGGATTTACCTATTCTGGACATTTCATACAAATAGAATGACAGAATGTGTAGTCTTTTGTGACTGTCTTCTTTCACTTACTATAATGTTTTCAGGGTTCATCCAAGTTGTAACATTAGTACTTCATTTCTTATTGCCTACTAATATTTCACTGTATATAGGATATTCATGTATATGGAATATGGAAATAGCATATTTTATACATCGACTCACTGGTTAATGGACATTTGGGTTGTTTTTGCCTTTTGGTTATCATGAGTAATGCTGCTAGTTTTACATGTACATGTTTTTGTGTGGACATACATTTTCATTTTTCTTGGGTATATACCTAGGAGTAGAACAGCTGGTCATATGGTAACTTTGTGTTTACCCTTTGGGGAAGTGCTAGGCTGTTTTCCAAAATGATTGCACTATTTTACATTCCCACCAGCAGTGTAAGAGGGTTTCAATTTCTCTACAACCTAACCAATGCTTATTATTAGCTATCTTCTTAATTATAGCTATCCTAGTAGATGTAAAGTGAGGACACATGTGTTGATTTTGACAATAAGAGAAACAGTTTTTAGGGAGTAGAGGTAGATTCAAACAAGCTTAAACTAAAATGGAATGAATCTAACACACATAGAAGCATCCAAAAGAATCCAGCTGCATCAGACATAGCGAGGTGGCACATGAGAAGCTGAGCTTGTACCCTCAATTACTGTGTGACATTGTATGTAATAACTCTTAAAGGATGGGCAAAAGCCTCTGATTAGTCTTCATCTCCTGGTTTCCAGAAATGTCCAACCCATTGCCATTAAAAAAAATCAGGCTGTACGTGGTGGCGCACACCTGTAATTCCAGCACTTTGGAAGGCTGGGGTGAGTGGATCACTTGAGGTCAGGAGTTCAAGACGAGCCTGGCCAACACGGTGAAACCCTGTCTCTACAAAAAATACAGAAATTAGCTGGGCATAGTGGCAGGCCGCATATAATCCCAGCTACTTGGGAGGCTGAGGAATGAGAATTGCTTGAGCCCGGGAGGTGGACGTTGCAGTGAGCTGAGATCGTGCCACAGCACTCCAGCCTGGGTGACCACAGCGAGACTGAATCTCAAATAAATAAATAAATAAATAAATAAATAAATAAATAAATAAAAGTGTGGTCAAGCTCAGTGAGAGGATGCCTCCTCACGTCAGTGTACCCTACACACATGGGATTCATAGACTGCAGGGGACTAGGGGGAAAGGGGAGAATGAAGGGATTCAGGAAGTTCATGGGAGCCTCCTGGAATTCTATGCCAAGCTTTGAGGAAAGAAGAAAATGTGTAGTTTCATGGGAAGCATGTCTATAATTCCCTCTTGATTCTTAAAGAGTTCATAACCAAGGCAAGTTTAGAGCTACAGGTACAGAGCATTGATTGATACCATACCGTGCCTGCTGTTGGCATCACACTTCAGTTGAAATGCACTAGCTTATGCTTTAGGCAATCACCAGTCAGAATAAACCCTGGGAGGTTATGGCTTCTCACTCAACATGTGGCTTCTTTCCTTCAATCCCTAGGCTCAGCCATTTAAGATGTGAGAAACTGAATCAATTATATCTAGGAATTGTGTACTATGTACTACTTTTTCAAATTTAAAAAGGCACAAAAACAAGAAGAAAAAAACGCTACTAGTTCTAATATCATGCAAAGTTTTTCAGTTTCTCTAAAAGTCAATCCAGCTAAATAGACTAATTTTTTTATTTAAAGTAATTCATTTTCTATAGAACAGAAAGAGTCATCCATTTTCCATATGGTCTATTGCAATTTTTTGGAATATGAGAAGTATGATATTCATTCATTAGGCTAGGTGGAATAGAATTACCTACTAGATTATACAGCATTTACTTAAAATTCTAGATTATACATGAAAATTTTGGATTATACATTGACATTAATTAATCATAGGCTGTGTAATTGCAGAGATTTAGATCAACTGTGGAGCAGGTTGTCTGACAGAAGTGTTTACAGGTTACTACTGGTAAATTGAACTCAAATGAACCCAACAGAAAAATAAGACTGTTAAGAAACTGCTAGAAGGAAAATGTAAAGTCTTAAATTCACAAATATAGTCAACCTTGCTGAAAAATAGTCAATTATGTCTATTTTTCAAGCCAACTGTACATGGGCAATTTCTGTCCAAACCATTAACCCTCTCCAATTTGTCTATCATCCTCAAAGTTCTATGATATATATGTTTTATGATATAACATATATGTTATATGATACTGAGCCAAAGGTGACTCATTTTTATCAGTCTTTAAGCATTTTTCATAATCACATCAATCTTCACCAAAAGAGGGATTTACATTTATTTTTCCAAACCCTATAATGAAAGTAACATACACACACCTTTTAGAAATATGGATCAGTCAGGATAAATGACTTATACAAGATCACATCACTATTCCCAACAGAGCCAGGGTTCAAATATCCCTGATTGCAGACCTGAACTTCTCCATGTATGCTGCCTCCCACAATTCCAGATCTCATCTGTGAATGCAGCTCATTCCAAATATATGCTGAATTGATAGATAAGATGGAATATGGGTACAAAAGCTGTTAAATGAGATGAATTATTTTCTGTGATAATAGTAGTATATAAGCACCAGTTGCTCATACTATGCTAGAAACTATTCTAAGAAGTTTATACATATTAGCTCATTTAATCTCCACAGCACGTAATGTGCTAGGTACTATTATCATTCTCATTTTGCAGACGGAGAAACTGAGCCGCAGAGAAGTAACACAAACTCACTCAGTCAGTATGTGGTAAAACTAAGATTCAAACTCTTGCAGTCTAACTCCAAAGTTCGTCCTGTCAAAGACTACATTTTGCTTTCTTTTATTATTATTATTATACTTTAAGTTCTAGGGTACATGTGCACAACGGGCAGGTTTGTTACATATGTATACATGTGCCATGTTGTGTGCTGCACCCATTAACTCGTCATTTACATTAGGTATATCTCCGAATGCTATCCCTCCCCCCTCCCCCCTCCCCACAATAGGCCCCAGTGTGTGATGCTCCCCTTCCTGTGTCCAAGTGATCTCATTGTTCAATTCCCACCTATGAGTGAGAACATGCGGTGTTTGGTTTTCTGTTCTTGTGGTAGTTTGCTGAGAATGATGGTTTCGAGTTGCATCCATGTCCCTACAAAGGACACAAACTCATCCTTTTTTATGGCTGCATAGTATTCCATGGTGTATATGTGCCACATTTTCTTTTTTTTTTTTTTTTTTGAGACGGAGTCTCGCTCTGTCGCCCGGGCTGGAGTGCAGTGGCCGGATCTCGGCTCACTGCAAGCTCCGCCTCCCGGGTTCACGCCATTCTCCTGCCTCAGCCTCCCGAGTAGCTGGGACTACAGGCGCCCGCCACCTCGCCTGGCTAGTTTTTTTGTATTTTTTAGTAG